GGGATTAGCGGGTACTGTACACATCCTTTTTAGTTATTTTGTTTAAGTGCCGATAGCCCACACAGAAACGCCAGATGTTATCTTTCTTTTTAACTAGGACCACCGGGGACATCCACTGACTCGAAGAAGGCTCAATAATGTTCTTTGTGAGCATTTTGTCAACCTCCTGTTGAATAACTTCGTGCTCTGACGGGGACATTCGGTAAGGATGCTTGTGGTTTGGAGACACATCACCAGTGTCTATGCGGTGCTCGACCTCCGAGGTCTGATCTAAGGGTACCTAGATTGGGTATCTGACCTAAAGGCTTGACCACAGGCACTCGTTGTAGCGCATCAGCGCATGGCCATCTGACACGTCGCAGTGCCCTCTCCCTATAGAGAAAAAGGACGTTTGGATATGCAAAGCTGCGCGCTCACTCTAGCTGAAAAGGATGCGACGCCACGCCAAAAAACCACGCGCTGACGCGCTGCAATGGGTGCGTGTAGTTAGGCCTTAAAAGTACCTAGTGATACCTAGATTGAATTTCGATGCTAAGTCACATCGGTTACTGCCGAGTTAATTGATTGGCGATTGTAGTGAAGGTTCTCTGAGATTCAAGAAGCGCCTCACTAAGCCTACAGCATTGATTATTTTCACCATGTTTTTTCGAAAAATGTGCTGAATCCATGCAAATACTTTACTGTTGACTCTAAAGTAAAAAAAAAGGCACCAGTTCGTAACTAACAAGCTACAGAGTGCTTGACGGTCACTTGATAGATTACAGGTGAATGGCGATGCCTTCCGGCAGTGCAGCCGGTGGAGCATCTTCTCCGCAGAGCATGGTTGCTAGCGGCGTTCGAAAACAAGTGCGCTACTCTGCTACCTGAAGGTAGCATATATAGTGACTCTATGTATCGTGACAACATTTGAGAGCGTGACCGTGCAGCTGATCGCGCCGGCTTCCTTGTGCGCCGGGTGTGTTGTATATTCGTCGTCCGTGTTTTGTTGCCATGATCTCGACTGTATGTGGCAGTCTCTTACTGCGATGCAACAGAGATCCATGAAGCAGAAAAACATGCCAGGGGTTATTGCAACATGCAGTGGCGAGTGCAAGTGGACGTCACCTGGAAGCCTGTACCTATGGGAAGCTTCTCCTCTAAAGACTAACTGTGAGCAGCTTGTCAGACGGCTCGTGCCGTTGTCAGATAGAAACGAGACGCAGTGCCCGGAGGTACTTTGTCCCAGAGTCTTACCTAACTCATCAAACCTATCATGATTTGTACGTCTGTCCCGGCACTACCCTCCCAGGATTTGGTGAGAGGAAAGGTTTGTTTTGGGCAGATGCATACCCTGGCCAGGGGGACACCGCTCGGCGCTAGGCGCCAAACAGACACGACCCGCCTCCCGGCGTACAAACCAGAGAGACCCAACAAAGGGTCTCTCTTCGGTGCGGTAAGTTCGGTTACAACACACAAAGCGAACGTATTCTGGCAAAGTAGGCTTTCACAACGCGCAGGGCACGTTGCGGTGATGGCCCATTCCCTGGCGGCCATGGGCCAGGGAGACTCGACAGAAAGGCTACCCTATGGCCCGGTGGCTTCAGTGATCGCACACTAAGTGAACGGCTGGTACAAGCCCCCAGAGTAGTCTAGTAACACTGGTCTGCCCCTTCATTTGCCTCTTCCACCTCCATGGCCTCGCCCGTGTGAGTGGGGGAATTTCGAGGAGACTTCGCCTCGTGAGTTGACGTCACTGGACTCCGCCTTTATCTCCCCAGTAAAAAACAAAAACAAACAAAAAACATGATCGCCTTGGCTTGTGCCAGCCAATGGGAGGCTCGACGAAAGGGGCTCGCCTAGTGCGCGCAAGTGCTCTGGCCAATGAGCATTCAGAAACTACCCCTCGGAAAAGCGCTGACAGCAGACATGGCGGCTGGTAGTATGTAGGTGTTCTGTGATAAAAGTTCCTCCATGATAGCGGGTGTTCTGTCGAAGCGGCGCTATTTTGAAACCCCGCTCACACCGCTGTGCACAAACAGCTTCAAAACAAGCCCAAGATTGTGACTATCAGCCAAACAAATTTTCGAACCAATTCCTTCGAACAAATTATGCCTCCTACGATGACATTTGCCGCTTCCGTGGCATCCGAAACGAAGTTTTGACCCTATTTACCTGGTGAAATCGGCGTTAATATTTTGAAGGTACATTACGTGTCTAAAATGCATTTTTCTCATAACTGTTTCTTTTGGCCTTTTTTTACAATTCTAAGACCTGTGCCCACCTTAATACAAGCAGGCAAGATAGAGATGTACTGTATTATATGGCATTTTGAAATATTACTGGTAATATGTAGGCAAGATCTCTACAAATTGCTCATGAATGTTGGAAAATTTCAAAATTCAGTTGTGATAACTGATATATATTTACATTTGGTTACGAATGTGTACATTTGTACATCAGTTTTATTTTTGAGCAATTCTAGAGTATTCTTTAAAAAAATTTATATTAACCTAATCACAATATCAATGTTCTGCTTACAGAAAGGAAAACACTGCTTCAATTATATTTTTTTCAAACTGGTGCAGCAGTTGCCTGAAGGTATTTTTATAATATTATATACATGTAGTGAAAAATCTGTCACCATCAAGATGAAGTATCATCTGAAAAGGGGCAGGCAACTGCTCCAAATATACGATGCCTTCCGGCAGTGCAGCCGGTGGAGCATCTTCTCCGCAGAGCATGGTTGCTAGCGGCGTTCGAAACAAGTGCGCTACTTTGCTACCTGAAGGTAGCATATATAGTGACTCTATGTATCGTGACAACATTTGAGAGCGTGGATGTGCAGCTGATCGTGCCGGCTTCCTTGTGCACCGGGTGTGTCGTATATTTGTCGTTCGTGTTTTGTTGCCATGAGCTCGACTGTATGTGGCAGTCTCTTACTGCGATGCAATAGAGATTCATGACACAGAAAAACACGCCAGGGGTTATTGCAACATGCAGTGGCAAGTGCAAATTGACGTCAACTGGAAGCTGGTACCTATGTGAAGCTTTTGCTCTAGAGTCCGTATATCAACTTTGTGAACAGCTTGTAAAGGCTGGTGCCATTGTCAGATAGAAACGAGACGCAGTGCCCGGAGGTACTTTGTCCCAGAGTCTTACCTAACTCATCAACCTATCATGATTTGTACGTCTGTCCCAGTACTACCCTCCCAGGGTTTGGTGAGAGGGAAGATTTGTTTTGGGCAGATGCATACCCACTGGCCAGGGGGACACCGCTCGGCGCTAGGCGCAAAAGACACGACCCGCCTCCCGGGTAAAAACCAGAGAGACCCAAACAAAGGGTCTCTCTTCGGTGCGGTAAGTTCGGTTACAACACACAAAGCGAACGTATTCTGGCAAAGTAGGCTTTCACAACGCGCAGGGCACGTTGCGGTGATGGCCATTCCCTGGCGGCCATGGGCCAGGGAGACTCGACAGAAAGGCTACCCTATGGCCGGTGGCTTCAGTGATCGCACACTAAGTGAACGGCTGGTACAAGCCCCCCAGAGTAGTCTAGTAACACTGGTCTGCCCCTTCATTTGCCTCTTCCACCTCCATGGCCTCGCGCGTGAGTGGGGGAATTTCGAGGAGACTTCGCCTCGTGAGTTGACGTCCTGGCTCCGCCTTTATCTCCCAGTATAAAACACAAACAAACAAAAAACATGATCGCCTGGCTTGTGCAGCCAATGGGAGGCTCGACGAAAGGGGCTCGCCTAGTGCGCGCAAGTGCCTCTGGCCAATGAGCATTCAGAAATGCTACCCCTCGGAAAAGCGCTGACAGCAGGACATGGCGGCTGGTAGTATGTAGGGGGTTTTATTCTTGATAAAGTTCCTCCATGATAGCAGGTGTTCTGTCGAAGCGGCGCTATTTTGAAACCCCGCTAACACCGCTGTGCACAAACAGCTTCAAAACAAACCCAAGATTGCGGCTATCAGCCAAACAAATTTTCAAACAAATTCCTTCGAACAAATTATGCCTCCTACGATGACATTTGCGGCTTCCGTGGCATCCGAAACGAAGTTTTGACCCTATTTACCTGGTGAAATCGGCGTTAATATTTTGAAGGTACATACGTGTCTAAAATGCATTTTTCTCATAACTGTTTCTTTTGGCCTTTTTTTACAATTCTAAGACCTGTGCCCACCTTAATACAAGCAGGCAAGATAGAGATGTAATGTATTATATGGCATTTTGAAATATTACTGGTAATATGTAAGCAAGATCTCTGCAAAGTGCTCATGAATGTTGGAAAATTTCAAGATTCAGTTCTGATAACTGATATATCTTTACATTTGGTTACGAATGTGTACATTTGTACATCAGTTTTATTTTTGAGCAGTTCTAGAGTATTTTTTTAAAAAATTTATATTAACCTAATCACAATATTAATGTTCTGCTTACAGAAAGGAAAACACTGCTTCAATTGTATTTTTTTCAAACTGGTGCAGCAGTTGCCTGAAGGTATCTTTATAATATTATATACATGTAGTGAAAAATCTGCCACCATCAAGATGAAGTATTATCTGAAAAGGGGCAGACAACTGCTCCAAATATACAATTAAAATGATTCCACTACTCAAAAAATTGCTTACTGTATTGGTTAAAACAAAGCCTGTTTTTCTAATGAAGGTGTGGATTCCCATTTTTATTTTTTCACTGAAGTCATGAAAAATGAGTTGGCACACCGAGTGGCAAAAAAGGCAAGATGCATATGATCCCCACGATGTGACCTTTCACTCGTGTATGCAATTGATGGCACATGTTACTCTGAGGACCATCTGGCAGTCTCCCGCAACAGTCAGCTTTCCTGCTCACCCTTTCACCATGCTCTCTGTGCTCCACGTGAACTCTGATCTTTCAGTGCAATAATTTTCTAAATTACAACGATGCAAGGCACACGGACGCTCATTGCAGTAATAGCCATCTAGGAGATGTGCTTAAAAATGAAAGAAGTAACACACAAACACAGTGCTACATGAAATAAATGCATCCCTCAAGTGTATGTCGCTTACATCAATGATAACAATGAACATTTAATGCCAGCTTTTCTATGCCATGTGTCAAAATAAAAAGCAAGGTGGAGGAAAGGGTCAGTGAAAATTGAGAGAAAAGTCTCAGTCTTTGGCAGCTTCTTCAGCTTTGTGAGACCCTACATTTTCATCTTCTGATGTGTTTGTTGAGGGCTCCACGGTGCCACCATTAGATGATGAACTGTCTGGTTTGCTCTCTGCTGCTTCTCCAGCGTCTGTTCTAATGTCTTTAGCAGAATCAGAGGGTTTCTCATTTCCTTCACATGCTGCTTTTTCGTCACTCACGAGTTTCTCGTTCTTGCCCTCGCAGTTGTCCTTTGGCACACTAGCACATGGTTCCTTTGGCATCTCTGAGTCTGGCTGTGGCTTTGTCACTTCCAGAAGGTTGTACTTTCTGAATTCCAGGTAATGAGGCATCAGGGAAATACAGCAGATGTTTTGCAACACGTCTATCATGAGCACCAAGTCTGGCTTGTGCAACTCCCCCGTCCACAAAGGCTTGGCACTCTTCACCACCTGCAATTAACAAACAGACAGGCTTGTTTGTGCAAGAAATTCAATGCACTATGTTAGACACAGTATAGAAAGAGCCGTGACATTGTCGTTTACATTTGAATAGGCTCAAGACAAAGATAATGCTCAACATTCTGGTAAAAATAGCTGGCACTAAGCCATGCAAGCCTTGACACAATAGAACTAGACTAATATGGTTGTTTCTAGGTTGTTTGTAGGCATTTACTAGGTGATAAAAGGTGTTCCTAGGTTGCTTCTAGGTCGTTTCTAATCTTTAGCTAGGTGTTGCTAGGTTTCATCCACGTTGACGCTTAGAACTGATGTATGAGTTACTGTATTTACTCGATTCTACCGTGCCCTCGATTGTAACGCGCACCCGATTTCCACCGCGAAAAAAAAAAAAAAAACGTAAGACATCGATTGCAACGCGCACCCATTTTTTCTCGCTGGCCCGCATGATCACACCACTCGAAAAAACGACTCCTTTCGGAAGCGTCTTCCATTTAAATATGAGGTACGGGCGAAGCTTGTGCCCATCTGGCGTGTAACAGAGCATTGCCGTCACTGTAGTTTTACCGTGGACCGATGTCAGCACGCGAACTTGCTTCGCCCCCTTCTTCTCGACGGTTGTGGAGCCAGGCAAGTAGAAGTAAAGAGGCGTCTGATCGGCATTCCCAATTTGCCCAAGCAGGTAGTCGTTGCGCCGCAAGTTTAGGACAAATCTCTGAAAACTGTGAAGCTTTTCATCGTACTCCTCCGCAAAACTTTTCGCATATGCATGTTCCCCTTCGGACGGAAAAGCCTTTCCTCTTCATAAAGTTAGTTAGCCAGCACCTGCTCGCTTAAAACTGGCTCCGCATTAGACATTTTTCTAAGACTAATTGCATAGCCCGCACTTGGAGCAGTTCTGCTGTCACGGGCCGCTGTGCTGCTCGCTGCTAAAGCACATACTCGCCGAGCAGCTCTTTAATTTGCGGACACCGACCCTGCTGTGGTCCACTGAAGCCTTTGCGTAAAGCTTTGCTGTCGAAAATCTTCTGCTTTTGTTTCCGCCGGTCCCGCACGCACGTTTCGGGAACTCCGAACGACCGCGATGCGGCCCGATTTCCGTCCGTTTCTGCACACGCGATGACTTTTCTTTTAAAAGCGGCATCATGGTGCACTCGAGTTTTTGGAGTCGGCCATTCCACGCCGTCGATGCTAAAGCACTACTAGATGACGAACTCCTCAGCACACGTACGAAGTGCCGCACATGAGAAACACATAGGCAGAAATGGACGACGCGCCATGCCGACGCACGTAGGGGGCGGCCCATTTTAGATTTGCCGATGGCAATAGATTGGCCGTAATTTTTTTGTTCGTACTCGATTCTAACGCGCATGCGATTTATGAACTCGCTTAACCGGAAAAAAGGTGCGCGTTAGATTCGAGTAATTACGGTAAACAACGAGCAGTCACAGACACGACACGGATGTCTAAACTCCAGAGACAGAGGCTCCCACTGAAACCAAGCATTCATACCTTTCATAGATCTCACAGGTCGTCCTTGGTGTTGCGAAATAGTAACGGAGCAACTAGGATCGTGTGAGACTCCATCGAGAAAGAGGAAGCTGAGGTGGCATCGAAGGATGGGCACACGCATGTGGTTGGGGGCAGTTCACGTTAAGCATCAACAATAAACAGACTTCTCTCTTTCATGTCAGGAAATCAGTCATTTTGCTGCACTGTTGGTGCCGCAACACGCAATATTCTAAGCACGAAAGCGGATTGTCTGCGAGTACAGAAAAGAATGGAATCGTTTCGATCGAAGTGGAAGGCAGTAACACTGGATCAGTGGTGAGGACTATGCGAAGTCTCTTTTGGTGGTAGCGGTCAAGCGGCGATAATGTGCGTGAACAGAGCTTCGCCAGCAATCATTTGAAGAGAGAACTTTATGGACAGCTGTTACAATATGGGTAGACGAGAATGAGTCAGTGGAGCAGTTCAGCAGCATTCTGCTGCTGAATGCTCTGCTGCTGAATGAGCTGAGAGTTCAACAGCATCAAAGATAACCAATCCTGAAAGTACAGGCAGAAGTTGAAATGGTGGAAGCTGTAACATGAACGATATGATTAAAGATGAATGTGTTGCTATCAGTGACCAACTGAAGAAGCAGGCAAATGAAAAATCTGCCTACAGCTTGCCTACTAGCAACGATAACTCCTTCGATTTCCTCGGTGGTGGGACCAGCAGTCTTGTGTTTCCTGTGGGCCCCCTGCCGTTGTATGCTAGATGTCAAGACATTGTTCCGCTCAGCTTCAGAGAACTGGATGAAGCTGTGAGAAAACGAGGCGATGGTCGCCTAAAAATAATGTGAAAAAGCTGCTTTCTGCTTCTGAAAGTGAAGCTGAGGGACCTGAAAAAGGAGCTAAAGCAGGATCGCCACCGTGTGAGTCAGCCATGCAAGCATCGCAGCAAAGATACCCCTACAGAGCAGCGAGAGAGCAGGGCGCAGGGTTCGAGCCGCAGCGAGAAATGTCGCTGCCAGCACTTCGTGGAGAAAACTCCGTACCGCTGCAGTGAACGGTCTACAGGTAAACCTGAGTGCGCAGTACACCCAAAACACCACACCGAGATGGAAGCATGCGCATCATTTACGAGTTGGATCAGCAGGCTTCATATCAGATTGGTGTAAAAGATGTGGTGATAGTACAAGAACAACTCTCCAAATGGCGTAACTGCATCACAGACGAGACGAAGTGGTCAGAGCCTGCTCTGTGCGTTCGGCAACCAACCACGTGGTGAACCAGCCGGTACAAAAGTTGAACATGTTATAAATGACAGCATGAATTGTGTCACATGCGTTTCCCCCCCCCCCCCCCCCCCCCCCGAGAATGCTGAAAATAAAGAAGAGGGGCGTGAGGGGGAGGGGTGTGACAACAGACGTAAAGTAAGAGAAGAAAAAAGTATGTAATGTGGAGCCAGCCCTGATCGCATAAACATCGTTTTCCAGTTCCACTAGCACAGGTCCTCGTTCTTGGCAGTTGGCATAGGCCTTCCATCATTTCGGAGTCTTGTCGCAGCCGCTGTTGCTTTTTTCCTTTCTAGTGGACCAGTGGTGAGTAGTAGAATTTACCCGTGGCCCTTTATGAGGATGATAGTTTTCCGATGGGCCACACAAATTTCCATGGCACGTACCCGTTCCTTGGGCTGACAGTTGTCTAATGGACCTGTGGTAAGTAGTGGAATTCCACTAATTCCAGACGAATGGGTATAAGAGACATCAATTTGCCTACCGTAATATGCCGATGGATAAGAAAATGCATATAAGTACCGTGCTTATAAGAGACATCTCATATAAAAGACAAGAATGGCTATTCGGAGCATGCCTCTTATAAAGGGGTTTAACTGTACATTTTGAAATGAATTTAAGAGGTCGACCAGCAATGCTTTGTACGATCTCATGTGGAATCACCCAGTAGACTGCTAAAGGGAGACAGGGAACTGACCTGCACGATCTCCAGAAGCATCGCCTTGTGCTGAAGGCTGCTGTTTTGACGGATTTTTCCAGCGACCAAGTAAGCGACCTCGGGCGAGGCAGAGTCGTTGTAGGATGCGAGCACAGTCTCCACCTTCTTCTTAATTGTGTCCAGATGGGCCTTGCAAGTTGTCTGCACGGGCAGCAGGCGCTGGATGAAGCGGCTACGCTGTTCATGCTTTGCCTTGAGGTCCTCGAAGATGCTTGTCACCAAACGCCCAGGGTCATCCACCTGCGTTTTCCAAGAAAAGCAATCATTGTCATCATTACCAAGCGCTGTTCCTGCCAATCGTGTGCAGCATCAAGGAGATTCCTGTTGTCAAGCCGATCCACATCAAGTGCACAGTGCTACAAGAAGGATATGATGATGAGGACAATTTCTAAGTCACTGTTCAACAATAACAAAAATATTTGCAGTTTTTCCATGTGCAAATACAACCAACGCATGAAGCTCCTTATAAATGAGACCCAAATGACTATGCGCCTGATCTCGCTGCTGGCCTCCACGAAAACGGTAGGGTGGGGAGCGCGTCTGCTGTGCTTGGTGGTGGGAACGACTGAGTGAGTGAGTGTGCGGTGCACGCAGTGCAGCGCGAGCCAGCCCAGGCAACGGATCAATGAATGGCCGAAGTAAAAGCCCGAAAATGCCACGGCGTTGAGGACAACAGGGAGAAGCGATGGTTTCGCGCATTTTCTGCTTTGACATGAGTGGGCAGAGACGAATAAAAAGGGAAAGACAGGTCAGAGATGGGTGCAGGCCTAAGAAACTTTGCTCCTAAAAACAGCAGCAGCATAAATATGATAAAGGTGTTCTAACAAGTGATGTATTGTTAAATAGCTTAGTGTACGCTCCCAGAACTGGGTATGTCTTGTCTTCTGTCCATGTTTGTTTTTTCTGTTTTGCACAATCATACTTTGGCAATAAAATAGTGCCAGTTTGCCCAGAATGCTGCTTTCAGTGAACATCTAGCAATGACGTCACAGATAATCGTTTTCAGAACAGCACTTAAAAAAATGAAGGCACTGTCTGCTCCCTTACATTACAAATACAGTCGAGTCTCATTAATTCGAACATGCTTGATTTGAACTTCCGGTTAATTCAAGCTCACGATGAGGTCCCGTCAAAGCTATGTGTATTTCAATGGGCGAAAACGCCCGGTAATTCAAACGCGCAAGCATTTGCGACGATTAATTCGAACATACCGCGCTACGAAAATGCTCTCAGCACTCGACAACTCTACGCTGCACGCGAAGGAAACGAAAAGGAAAGAAAAGGCTGCAGTGGAATGTTTGCCCTCTCTCAAATGCCAATCTGCGACATGCCCGTGTCATGCTTCTCCCTTTTCCGTCCCTGCCAAAAGACCCTTCTCCTTCTAACACCGCACATGAAGAGAGAGAGAGAAAAAAAAAATAAAGCTGTCGCTGGGTTGAATGAATGTGTGGTTGAAGGAAAGGAAAAAGGCCCTATCTTCTGCAGCCCTTGTCCCTTGCGGGAGCACGGCTCTGCGCCTTGAGGGGGGAGGGGGTCTCTAACGTGCCAATGTCACTCGTTCCCCCTTCCCGTCCCTGCCACATAACCCTTCTCCTTTCAACGGTGCACGCGAAGAGAGCAAAGAAAAAAAAAGAGCGACCGTGGAGTGTCGGTTTTCTCTAAAATGCCGATCTGCTTCTCTCCACTTTGAGACGCTCCTCCTTTCTCGTCATGTGCTGGCCATGCTGCGGCTGCGTAGCGGAGAGTTGAAGTCCGTGTTGTCGTCGTTACTAGGAAGTGTCGGCGCTGGACATTTCCGCGTGCAACTTCTCTTGCCAGGAGAATACTGAAGCCAAAGTAGAAATGCTTTGCAAGCTGCGTGCGAAATTGATTGACTCGCTGCAAGGCAAACATGTGCAGAGGTGCATAACCGATTACTTCAATTAATGATGGATGTCCTGTGATTTGTGAGTAAATGTAAGTCTTCTGAAACTCGCCCCCCCCCCCCCCCCCCCTGTGTTTGCTCAATGCACGTGCGCCACTGCATGGAGAGCCCTCTTTTATTTAGCTTTCATTAAGTCTAACTTATTTCAATTCAAACAAACTTTTGGGCCCCTTCGAGTTCGAATTATTGAGATTCGAATGTAATTCATTTAGTTAACACGAACTTTAGAGGTCTGAACACAGGGATGCAGACAAAATATTACAAGAGAACACATATAAGTATACAATAACAAATAAATAAGTATATCCTAGCAATATAATAAATAAACATGACATTTCACTTATGCATTAAACAGTTAACGCCACACAATGAACAAGGTAATGCTAGATGCATAGAAACTATTACTCACTGTAGTCGTCACAAAAAAGTTTCTAGCCACATCCGTCTTGACCTTCTGGAAGCGGCGAACTTTGTCTTTGGACTCCTTGAGCTCACTGAGCTCCGCAGCTATGTCATCTTCGATAGACGCTTTGCTGTCTTTATCCTCTGGTTTCTGCAATATGGCATCGTATGTCACAAACACTGTGCTTGACACCAGCAACACTAGGGTGTCTACAAATTTATATTCCTGATTCCCAACTTTTAAAGGTTTTTTTTTTCTTAATGATAGTTTTCAGTATATTTCACGATTGGTAAGACTGCTTGAAAAACTGATTATCTGTGGGCTAGAAATTAGCCCTTTAATGGTTAAAAAACAAAGAGAGCTAAGGCACTTGCATAAGCTGAGTGCGGAATTGAGAACGTGTGCCACTGAATGAGCTTGACACGGTTCGGTAAGCCTTAGCTCACAGTGGGTCATGGCAAACTAGAATGCCTTTCAGCCAAGCCAAAGTCATGACCAAGACAAACAAGCACAAATTTACTGGCACGATTAACCTCATGCTTGGGAATTGAAATTAACAGTACCCACTATTCATTTTTTTAATGTTAGATTTCTTCTTAGTTGTCTACTGTCGCAGCATAAAAAAGGAGCGACATTATAAGCTTTAATTTAGGGTAAAAAATTTTTCCATGATGATGATTATTATTACGCTGTAGCCATACCCTTTCTGTAACAGGCTGGTGTCAATTGACTCCAGGCCAAAGACTGCGGAACAAAAGATAGACAGAAAGAAAATAGAAGAAAAAACACACACATGATTAAGAAGCACGATATGTCTTGGTTCGCAGTACTCCCGTCCTGGCCTCAAACAGTAGAGAACTACCCCGAGTATTATCATAGATCCTTTCCTTGGCAATTTCCTGCTTAAAAGTTCGATAGATCTCTAGTGCGGACTTCTTAATCATGCCCATTCTCCACATGTCAGTCTCCGTTTCTTTCACTTTTTTCTTAACCGATAGTTCTTTTTGGTTTGGCCACCTGCTGTTTTCTAAGTATTTACCAGTCAACTTCCTGGTTCGCTTCCTCCATTTTGTATCGACATTCTTCATGTACAAGTAGCTGAAAACCTTCCTAGCCCAACGCTCTTCCTCCATTTCTCTCAATCGCTTCTCAAATTTTATCTTGCTGCTAGCTTCCCTGCCCTCAAATGATGTCCATCCCATATCACCTTGTACTCCCTGATTTGGTGTATTCCCGTGAGCTCCTAAACAAATGATTGTGCAGACTGCCATCTGCAGTCATTTTCCAAAACCAGGCTGGGTATTTCCCTAACTATTCCAAGCTTTTTCGGTTGTTAGACACCCTAAACTCTATAATAATTAGCTTGGCAAGTAGAAGCTGCACATTGCCCCGCCGCGGTGGTCTAGTGGCTAAGGTACTCGGCTGCTGACCCGCAGGGCGCGGGTTTGAATCCCGGCTGTGGCGGCTGCATTTCCGATGGAGGCGGAAATGTTGTAGGCCCGTGTGCTCAGATTTGGGTGCACGTTAAAGAACCCCAGGTGGTCTAAATTTCCGGAGCCCTCCACTACGGCGTCTCTCATAATCATATAGTGGTTTTGGGACGTTAAACCCCACATATCAATCAAGAAGCTGCACATTAAGGTAAAGCCATAGCTTAAAGAAGTGGAATTTTCTCAGGAACTCATTTTTGTAGGGCGCAGCCATACAAACCCAAAGCAAGCAAAGGGGCTCTAGTTGTAGTTTTAATTTGAAGGAGTATGGAGTGACGTGTCATGAACATAGAACAAAACAACTTACTGCCAGAAGGACATGAACTCGCAACCTCTGCATTGTACACACCATGTATTACCATATTATTGAGAACTAAAAGACAATAATGCCTTGTCTGTTAGTTTTCATTAATAATGTATTACTGTTTGTGATACAATGATGGTTATTCTACTGTCCACATTCTATGCTATTTATGTGCGTGTAATCCAAGACCCTGCTCAGTGATATCTGTAACCGGCCTTTCAGTACAAGTGTTTTGGATCTACACAGACATTAAATGGACACATAACGTTTCAATACATGATTGGAGGACTATTGCTAAGCATGGCTGCAGTTGGTTTCGCAGCCTGTACAAAAGAAGTCAAACTGCTGGCACGTTGGATATGTGCCAGTTATAATGTCCCTTTCCGAACCGGTGAAGCTCAGCCATGCCCCTTTCATGTAATGAAAAGATTGGCTGGAACCACTCCTTTTGCATTTACGAAAGAATAACAAGTGCTGCCAAATGCCTGATGTGATGCATAAAGTTACCATCTCACACTTGCAAGAAGAAAGACAAAAAATAACGTTATAAAGAATGCTTTTAAGCCATTTATGATTACAACAGTAAAAATCAGCATTGATAAGGTATTGCAATCATGTGTGGTGGAGACACGGGTGATTCTAGTCCAGCCAAAGAAGTCTTACTGTTGCCATTTCATAAATTTGTGGTACCAATTGTCGTGTCAGCTCGGGACACGACAACTGGTGCTGTTTGGCTTATTCATCGACATCTGCAGTGCTGCAAACAAGGCTTTGTTTTCTGCTACTGCTATTTTTGAAATATTGAAGGGCTAGAGCATAGAGCCTAACAGTACAAACCACGAAGTATGATCATATGTATGATTGAAATAATTCATAACATAACTAAGGGAGAAAGAAACTATTAATTCTGGGCTGTTCCATAACTACAATACAATTGCTAGGCATTTGGTAGTGAACTACGAATTAATTTTGACCAGCTACGGTTTCTTTAACGCACACCCAAACCTACGTGTCGGCCTTTTGGCCCCATCGATATGCGGCCGCTGTTGTTAGAGGATCGAACCCGATTACTCGATATTATCAGCACCAAAACTCAGTCACTGCGTTATCATGGCCAGTACGATTGCAAGTAAGGTGCAGAAGCGCTCGACAGTGTACATAACTTAATTTTAATATCGAGAAAAACAGCGCCTTAATGTGGTGGCGAGAAAATCCGTTCGCACACACGTCTGCGCTTTGTTTGTCGCTTGCTAGAAACGAAGCATGCTTGGTCCATTGCATAAACTCTTTGTCAAAGGTAAGGCGTCAAATTAAATGAAACTGTGCATACTAACTTCAGGACCCCATATTTTGTCGGCGTATTCGTTGAGCAACTCGTAGCAGTCCTTCACGGCCTGGGACTCGCTTCGCTCGAAGGTGACCAGAAAGCCCGTCATGTCGGTTTCCAGGGAGCCGACTCTGCGCTTTTTGGCGAATGACTTGTAGTAATTCTTCTTGCGTTTCTTGCCATCACCGCTGCTCATGATTGATTTTTAACTTGGAAGTTTCCGAGTTCAAGATGACAATGAAAGGACAAGCCAACCGTGTTGAGAAGGATTCGTGTTACCCAGAAATATTTTCGCTAATATAGTTACACGGACAGTCGAACTGTTTAACTAATGTTAACAAATTGGTGTAGGTTAGAACAATTTAGCGGGGAATCCACCAAAAAACTTATCAAACACATCCAGCCACGCTTGGGTTACTTCGCAAATGCAAAGAAACAGACAACGCGGCTTGGCTTGGCTTCACGTGGTTGCGTTTGTAAATTAGCCGCCCGTTTTGTGGCCAACTCGGGTCATGTCGAGACAATCCGCAAGTACCGCAATGCCGATTTTTTTCGCCTGAGCAAGGCAGTCGTGCTGCATGTGTATTCCATTCATTCAATCAAATTTGTCGATTTGCAAAATGTCAGCTTCCCTGGTGCGAAGGGCTCTGAACTTGTTCAATGATTTGGAAGAAGGTAACCTACTGCGATTGACTAGCATGAAATTCAGTTTGTGGCACGTGATGTAGGTCACTACCAGTGCTTTGAACCTATCGCGATTTCCGTAAGTGTGCTAGATAGCTAATAGAACGAAACCTTTCTGATGTCACAATTGCATATATTTAGCACGACGTTGTGGTTAGCGTAAACAGTTCCACCAGGCAGCCTTGCGCGTTAAAGCTAAGCGGCGTTGGTTGGTTGACTGATTGATTGATTGATTGACCCTTTAATCTGGCGCAACCCACCCACCAAGTGGCGTTACGCATGTAGGAAATTGCTAGCAGTTTGTTCCGCAGGTAGTTGGGACGTTCATTTTGATAATTCGCGCATGCACGTGTATTTCGACTGAATTGTCTTGCCGTTTAATTGAAGCTGAACATGTTTGAATGCAGTTCGCGAGAACCAAAAATCCAAGAAGAAATGCAGGGAGAGACGACCTCAGGCGGAATCAACTCTTCACGGCACGAAAAAACAAGCCCTGAAACGCCAAGGTGCGGTGCGCCGCAAAGCAATACCCAGCGAGGAAAAGCGGACGCGAGCCATCATAGGTAATTCGATTTTATTTCTGCCAACGTGTTGCACTTTTGTACACCTTAAGGAAGAAGAGGTAGCTGATTACGATTGCCTCCTTCAAAAATTTAATTGATTGCACTTTCCACTAACTGCCCAAGAAACTTATCGAATGAAGTATTGAGAAGTACTCAATTGGGTATGCTTCTCATAACATTTATAATGTACAAGTAGCACATTTATTAGATTGTGCCACAGTGTAAGACGAACGATTTAGGTGCGACACTTCGACCAGATAAACTAACAGCGACACGTGTCCGTCGAACCGCTGTCGGCAGCCCTTGCCTATTGGCAAGCCAGCGCAACTTCAATATAAAAAAAAAAAAAACCCTACCATTGCTATAGTAACCGGTAAGGCCGGTGGCAACGCCGGCGTTCAGCGATCATTGCATTTGTCATTCGCGAAAAACAGGCCATGCAGTAGCTGTAAATGCTAATGTGCCTTATACACGTTCCCTAACTGCAGTTTTATCATCTTTGTTCAAAAAAAGCTCATGATGTGGTAAGCCGCCATACAGGAAATCTGGCGAAAGAAAATGTCTAAGTGATTCGTTACTCGTTACTGGTCAGGTTACCCTACATGCCAGGAAGGAGAAACACCTCATTCGATGGTCCTTGTGATACCGAATGCCTCAAAGCATGGGTTAAAGTGGTTCCCAGAAACGACCATATGCTCAGCACAAAGGATGCAGTCTGCAGCAATCACTTCATAGATGACGTGATTCTGAAGAAAAAAAAGATACTTTGTACCCCCCTCGCACCTGTAAGGGGAGGAGGATCTTTCTGCTAATTAAAGTTTGTTCATCACCATCGGCTAACAGCAAATATCCTGATCGACGTCACAAAAAAAATTCTTTCTGAATATGCAATATCTTGTAATTTCCGGTCTTATCCTCTACACCCTTTTTTGAAGTCCAGGAAAAAAGCCACCTACCACGCAGCACAATCATTTTATGTTTATGCTGCACAATGAGACATTGTGATAAATAGTGGTTTTTCTGTTACAGGCACAGTGAGAACTTCTGTATCTCTTATTATGTTGTGCATTCACTGTTTATTTGTGCTTAGTGCTCGAATGGCATCCTTAGAAAAGTACGCTGATTGTTCGAAGCAAAAAAAAAATTACGAGCTCACTGTAAGAAGGGATGGTGAGATCAACGTGAAGATATGCTCAGGTTCCCCCGTAAACATGTCTCCCACAGGTAATAATCACATTGTGGTGAACTTTCCGCCGTACATTTGTCATTTGAGCCACAAAAATAGAATTCAGCGCAATACCAAACGGTAGCTATGTAATGCACGCCAACAAATTGGTCTAAGTATCTAAGTGGTTGCTTCTCTTTTTACAAGCAATCACGCGGTCTTATTAAAGTTCTGCTTTGCTGGTCACCAAAGCATGTGCGTCCCCCAGCGCTATTCGCATGCTCCCTAGATCTAGCTTGCCGATCCGAGTGCATCACCTACGGTCGAATGCATGAAAACCAGCGTATTTAAATAAAAAGTTGCTTCATACGAAATTTCGGGAAAGATATCAATTATGTACGTATCTGTCACGCCCCAAGAAGTGTTAAGTTTACTGGGCGTGCGAGCACTTTGAAATACAGGCATGCGTTCCATAGAGAAACACGGAGACCACGCTCTCCGCGTGTCTCAAACCCCTGTCATGCTTAGAGAGAACAGTAATCAATTTTCATTCTTTGGCAGGAATGACGCTCTTGTGTCATTAAACTAAATTTCCCGTGAAGGGCTGGTTGTTATAGCAACACCTCTGCCTGTCTTCAAGTTGCGTCTACTGGTCGATAGGTATGCGCTGCCGGCAGCGGTCCATCAGATGTGTGTCGCTGTTACTTTATCTGGACGATCGCGTCTCCCGAGTGTCCCCACCTAAATTGTTTGTATCTCACATCGTGGACTATGCTCATCTGGATGCTTTTCACTGCATCATCTGCAGCCCTTCTCACCTTGTTTAACTTCAGTAACAATTGGTTTTTAAAAACTTCTTCAATTATCAACAACTCCTTTGCCATTGTAGACATCGACTGTGACCCAAAGCTCACCTGATGTGCATGCTGGAGGGAAGGTCGGCGTACACATATAAACACCTTGTACCACAAAGGTTGTGGTAGCATAGGCACAGTGCCTGTGTCTCAGTTCTCGCCAAAGTGATGCATTTTACAGTTTCTACAGGGCCTGGATGCTGCTATTAGGACCTATGAAAGTATTAATTGATCAAGTATTAATACCAGGATTGAAACAACAGAGTATATTGCTTGCGAGAACAGTCATGACCTTCATGCTGTGCATACCTGCATTATGTGTAATGTAACCGTTGTATTATAAAAATTGTGCGTGCTGCACGTAGTTGTACAGCATTTAATTAACGTGTTCAGTAAAGCTTCAATTATGTAGCGACATGTGGTGCAGGGTATTTGAAAACAGTGGAGCACACCATGTCTATTCTACATCTTGTTTGACTTCTGGTTCTCATATATTTCCGTTTTTATTGTTTTCAGAGGAACTAAAGCGGGCGCAAGAGGCAGACCACACAGAGGAAAATGTCAGGGCTCTCATGAAGCTGTCACAGACTTGTAGTAGGGTTATCAACAAGGTATTGCATGATCCCGTTTTACTGTTTCATGCCGTGTCCTCCTAAACAAAGGGTTTCTGAAGTTGCTGTACATACATGCAGAGTGCAGCTTAATTTTAACCTTATGAAGCTTATGCGAGACTATTTACAAACAGACAGATTTTTTTGTACACCAAGGCGAAACATAATACCTCCACATCACTTCTTGATTTTTAAAGTTTAAAAGCTTGTTAATCTGCTTATGCGCTCCAAGTATAGTAAATTTATTACGATTTGCATTCTACTGGAAGTCAAATCCTGTTACTGTTACATAGTTTTCACGTCACCTCGCAGACAGCTTATCTGCGCTAGGTACCTTGACATCACGGCCATTGTGACTTTCTATTTTATTAAGTAGACAGTACAGAGAAGGACACAAGTCGTTTCATTCTCGCTTCCTTTCGTTCGCGACCGTGCCAAAGGGGAGCACAAAGGAACGCATAGGGGCACCTGCACTAACCGTGTCACCGTTCCTTCCTCTGTGTGTCTTTGTAAGAGTTCACAATGCATCTCAACCAGGTGGTACCCCAAGATGGTGACCATGGTTATGTCGATGAAAACTATGTAGTCGAAGTTGCTTCCACTTCCTTTGAACAAAAAATAAGGACATTTGCCCTTGCCTTGTTTCAATATTTTAAAAAATATTGTGCAGGTCATGACAGATATGCTCTTCTTTATATATATATATATATATATATATATATATATATATATATATATATATATATAATATGAAATTATTTGACCAAGTCACTATTCGTTTAAAACTTAATTTACTAACCCAGTGGGCACCTATCTGGCAAGGTATGAAGTGTGCGAAATTGCTCAAGTCTCCTATGCCATGTTTCAGGCTGGCTTGCATTCCATGATGCAAAGGGCAAATGCTGATGTGCCAATGCAAAATGACGACAGACCAACTGCCTTCACCGACGAAGACTTTCGTCGCTTTGAGGAAGAATACCACATATCTTAACAGAGCTCTCATTAAATGTTTTTGTTGCTTTATGCAAGTTGCAGTGTCCTTTAAAAAGTGCCTTTCACTTTATTTTCACCTATATCATTAAGCCCTCTGTTTCAATTTTTCCTACACCTTATTTCTGTTACACAGAGGAGCAATTACTGACACCCCTGTCAGACATGCAGATTCAGTCATTGATCAAGAGAAGGAAGCATTTCCTAACAATGATCAAGTGTACTTGCTATTCACAGGCTGCCAGACAGATGGAATGACACTTGCCAAGAAGGGCATCAATCAAACTTGCTTTGCAAGATGTATAGCCCTACTACCAAAGCTACATAAATGCTAGGTTGCTTGAGCTTTCTTGTAGGCACTTCTGCACTAATTGCATAGAGAACCAACGAAACCAATCTTGGTCTTTCTAGTTGCCAATGTGTGTCTGTTTTGCTGAAAGTTTACATTTAGCAAATTTTGTCGAAATTAATAAGTATATAATGCACCAGCCGATTGTAAATGCTGTTGATTCAAATTATACTTTAGCACAAGAGTATACTCCCCCGA